CCACGACACGAAAACATTCATGGTGCTTATGACGCATTGCACATCATGCATCCCTGTTTTGTGTAGTTTATGGCTTTCAAAGCTGTATTGCAACGGTTTCTGATAGATTCGGTTCCAGTTGACAATTAAGGCTGGTCCAAATTTCGTCGCTGACCGAAAAGACACCTGTTCATCACAGGATAGGCCAAGGGTAAACGTCGCCAGGCATATACTCGGTCGGGTCAAGGCGCCCGCAACGAACCTTCAGGACACACCATTCATCAACCCCCCCAGAACAATCGCAATGACACCCCGCTGCTATGAACACAGCTGCAAAGTAAATGTCTGCCTTGTAACGTTCATCCGATGGCGACGGTCCGGTCCATCCGATCCGGTGGCGCATTTTAACACTGAGTCACCGCAACACATGTCCGTCATCCGGTCTTTTGTGCGCTAAATTTTCTATCGTATTTCATCACCGAAACATAAACGCATAGCAACAATTATTAAACTGCCTTGTAGCTGCGCCAACCTAAGCTCTCAGAGAGGGCCCAGTGTACTTCACTCAGCGGTGATCCTTAAAGTGTGTATCATCATCATGGGATCCACGTGTGGATTTCCCACAAATCGGATGATTTGTAATCAGTCATAAGCTCCTTGAACAGATGAGCTCACCATCACCAATGCGTAGAGCAAACAACGGAGTCAAATACCGCGGACGATTTTATCCACGCAATAAAATACAGCAGGTAACCGGATAAAAGCCTTCCACGACCACCGTGCGGCTGCTGCCGAGTAACCAGCTATCTTCGATACCACGGGCCAGAGATCAAAGTTGTGAATTCTATAATACCTGTGCTACCGACGACGCGCCGACTCGGCGAAGTTGCCGTGCATAAACAAAACGTTGTCTATGTTCATGCAGAGTGGTTTAATAGGGCATCACCGTACCACATGACGTCATTGGTCGGTATAGAAGGCCAGGTTCGGTTACGATATCTCTCTATCGGGTAATATCCAAACCAATAGTTCAAGACTTGCCAGGAAGTGGTAACTTCCCAACCTCTGGACGCCATGGACGCTGGCTGTTATGACCTTTGAATGTTGCGGTTGCTACTAGCTTGGATGTTGTGGTTCTCTTCTGTCCGGGGACATAGGGCGACTTTTGGATTTTATGAAAGCTGGATGCTGCGATTCTGGGTGTTTTACATTGCATGTTATCAACTCCGGATGTTTCAATACGCATCCGCGCCTGTTAGTCGCTGCATGTTGTGTTCCATCTAATCCATCAACCACAACCCACTAGCACACGTCTGGCACGTTTGCTGAGCGCCTCATCTAGAAAAATAGCGTGCACCCCAAAACGGGAGCCACAGATGTGCGTGGCATCGTAGTGAAAGCCGTGCACGTGCTCCCATTACGCGTGTCGTGCGGCGGCGCAGCGCTCCAGTTGGTGTCGGACGGCGGCGGCACGCTGAGGTCGGGCTGGGCGCGGGCCGTCCGCCGCCGTCCGTCCGTCCGTCCGTCTCCGGCTCCGTGAGTACTGTTAGCTGCCGGGCAGTGGTGCCGGGCCACAGTCGGCCGGGCCGCCGGCCTCTGCCCGCACCACACGTCCGGCCGTCGCCACCGCGAACGGTGGTGACGCATGTGACGGCGGTGCCGACAGTGGATTCGTAGCGTGGTTGGGACACGGAGAGCCCAGTAAGCCCAGTTAACAGATCGGTGGGAGTCGCGTTGGACTCGATGCTGGCTAGCTACTTCGCCTCTCTCCGACCTGGTAAGGTTTTCAGGCTCGGCGCTCTCGTTCTCAGTATGGCCGTCGTGGTAGTTTTTCGATATACTGCATCGCCTCCACACAGAAGTTAACGTGCTTGTTTTAAATCCGCGTGTGCTGTTTCAACAACCACGAATCTCCGTCAAAAGTTAAGGTGATTAGCAAAGGAAATTCTGCAAAGCCTTGCCTTTTACTTCACGGAAGGATTAAGACGGCGCGTTAGTATCTGACATAGAATATTGCTCGGACTTTTGTATTCGACTAGTGTGTTAGCATGCATAGCCGCTTCTGCCAATAAGCTTTCCGGCTGCTGTCAGGTGTTCTTGAGTCCTGAGAAGGTCTGGATGATAACAACACCTGACGACGGCTGAACGTTGGATGTACGCTAACACATCAGAACAGGACGATACCACACGATACGATACGATAGCCTAAGCAATCCCCCCCCCCCCAAGCGTGCTCAATGTGTTTGTACGCTTTGGGGGTTGGACGTAGTGCAAGGGTATTGAAGAAGGCAAAATATTCTAAGGGCATTTATTTGCCCTTGTCGCTCGGAATCTTTTTCAGAAGTTGATGTCGCACAAAGTGTTCCTATTCCCGTCCAAAAGCCTGTCATTCACGTGCTGTACCAGCGGCAATGTATGCGCATGTCATGCTCCCTTCGTTCAAAAGATTAACTTCTTAGCTGATTTCCAAGCGGTCGGTTAAATTGTGTTCGCCCCGTTATTTGCTCGTATAGCCATATGTTTCTGCGTGGGCGACAAAGTCTTGACACAGCTTAAAAATTGTATGGTCGCTTCAATAGAATGTCATGACAACGGGGAAAATAAGCCAACAGGTCCGTAGGAGCGCGCAAACAAAACATGAATCCTACGCTCACGCAGCCACATGCCTCATCCATCCTAAAAATAGAGCACGCTCCAAAATACTTCCACAGACCAAAGCCAACGCCGCCATTGTCTAGTAGCTCGCAGCCAGATGTGACGTCCTGTCCGCGGGCGTGAGACCGGGCACGTGCCTCCCGCGGCGTCGCGGGAGATGCCCGCTGCGGCTGGTTCCCCTAGGCCGCCGTGGCCGCCGTCGGGCGGCGGAACTGGGCCAATTTGGCGCGCCACGCCGCCGTCGGGGGCGCGCGCGTGACGCGCAGCTGGAACGGGCAGCGGCTCGACACTGGCGGTCCGCTGGAACGGGTCACGGCCGGCGGCGCCCGGTCGCGGCGCGAGCTGCCGTGTCACTGACCCGGCCGAACGGTAACTAGCGCAGCCAAGAGAGGGCGTTAGGGGTAAGTGCTTTTCCTGGAGTTCCAAGGTACTGAGCTGGGTCCTGGAACTCCAGACACCTCAAATATTTGTTTCCTTATGCTTTCAGGACAGTTTTCGGCAGGAAGGAATTGGAAATAGGCCTTGCAAGACCCCTGCCAACATGCCACTGGCAACAGGCCGCTGGCAGCATTCCTTGAAGGCCTCTCGGGTTTCTGGCCCTCCTGTTAGGACCTCAAGGCAGGACATAACAGCAGGCATTCCGGTGTAGCTGGAGGATGATATCTTATTACCACTGCAGCTGCATTGGGGTCATGACGGCTGAGGGATGCGATGGTTTCCTAAACAAATATTTCTGCCATAATTATCTCAGTAAAATGCCATAAGCCATAAGTTCAGTCAACACATTTTGTCCATATTAACACTAAAACCAGTGCCTCTTTGATGTTGCAACCACTTCAGTAACAAATTTTCATCGACGAACGTTGCACACATTTAAAGTAAGGCCTATTTGCCCTTTTTCATACAAATGAGCTGGTATTGAGAGAACTAGGGGATAGCTGATTTCATTCCTCCCCATCAGTACGCGTCTTAAAGGAAGGATCCTCTCATTTGCCTGCCAGGACCGGCGATGTTGTCAGAGATCCTTCGGGAAAGCCCTCCTCTTCCCTGAACCCAGCACCAAATCTCGTCTATGCCTCTGCAAGCAGGCCACGGGTTCTTTCGTCGGCCTGACGTTTCCATAATGTCAGCGACCGGGTGCGGTTCCGCCTGTGTTGGTGCGCTGCGACGGGTGTGGATTTTACCTCGATTGATGACCTAGTGGAACGGCACACGAGTATAACACCAGACGGGTATGGATATGCGCTTCGGAAAGTGACTCCCAGGTTTGGGCTGCGGATATTAACAGCATCCATACTAGGAATATCCGTTGAGGACAGCGACACTGCAAACATGGCAGCGACGTCCCGCGCTGCTGACTGAGCCCTCGGTCAAGCCCGCCACTCGCATGCGACGTGCATCTTCTGAAAGCAGACAAGTGGAACTCCCATTCAGGAGCCTCACGCTCGTGAAAGACACGCCGCAGGAGCTAATATGGAGATGGCGGCCTGCAGGGGTAGCGTAATCAGCTGAGCGTTAGACATGGGGTGTCTGGTACAGCATGGCTATCAGTTCACTGCGTTAGAGCTAGTTTTCTCACGCACGGTGAAATGCATCACCAAACAACAGATAAGGAAAACGAATGAGCTGATAGAATTGATTCGTCACTATTGAGGGCCGTCATTTCCTTGCCACACCAATTTGAGGAGTTCCAGTTTTGTTTCTCTCTTTTCCGAGAAAGGTCATATTGGCTGCAAATGCCTTGAGAATTCCTGGCGCGAACGGTCACATCAAGCTGGAGTTGTTCCTCCGAACGGTGACGCGCAGGATGTCTCCAGGCGACCAGCGCTCATGCCACAGCCACAGGTCCACCCGAATACGTGCGACACACTGCGCGGCGCGAGTCGCCGGCACGCCTGTGTCCACTGGCAATCAGTATCTGTCGTGCTTCTGTGGAGAAGAGAAGCAATGCATTGCTTCAGACATGTGTGTCAGTCTGCTGGCGGCAGTCCGATGGGACACATATCTGACCCGCGCGTCTGACCCCATAGGGGACACGCAGCATGACTGTGTGGCGTGGATCCGTCCCGCGCGTCTGACCCCACAGGGGGCGCGCAGCACGACTGGGTGGTGTGGATCTGGCCCGCGCGTCTGACACCACAGGGGACGCGCAGCACGACTGTGTGGTGTGGATCTGACCCGCGCGTCTGACACCACAGGGGACGCGCAGCACGACTGTGTGGTATGGATCTGACCCGCGCGTGTGACCCCACAGGGGGCGCGCAATACGACTGTGTGGTGTGGATCTGACCCGCGCGTCTGACCCCACAGGGGACGCGCAGCACGACTGCGTGGTGTGGATTTGACCCGCGCGTCTGACACCACAGGGGACGCGCAGCACGACTCGGGCACGGCCGGCCACGAGCCCGATAGTCTGGAGGCGATGCGGACGGTGCTGACAGACGAGCAGACCCGACCCGGCTCAGGTCACTCGGTGGAGCTGGAGCCGGCCGTGCTGCTGCACCTGGAGCGGTGCGCCCACAGGAAGACGCGCCGACAGCTGCAGCTGCTCCAGAACGGCGTCAGGTCAGACACGGAGGCACTCACTCGCTGCCGGACTTTTCGATCAGACGCGGGGTGACACATTGGCCGCCGGACACAAGAGGCATACATTCCGCACAGAACATCAGCAGGTACGGAGATTACTCACTTGCCACACAGAATATTGCCAGGTACGGAGATTGTACATTCGCCACAGAGCGGAATTAAACACAGGGAATACACACTCGCCACAGAGCGGAGTCAGACACAGAGAATACACACTCGCCACAGAGCGGAGTCAGACACAGGGAAATGCACACTCGCCACAGAACGGAGTCGGACGCGGAGAACACAGAATCGCTGCAGAACGGACTCAGACGTGGAGGGAGCTCGCCAGAAAACAGAGTCAGATGCAGAGAGTACCCACGCGGCACCGAACAGAATGAGAATAAGAGTTTACATAAGCGTTACAGAGGAATCAGCCTGGACAGCTTGACAACCGATGCTACAAAGAGTAGCTCGGAGGCACACAACCGATTCAAAACACAGTCAGATAATCTGACCATCCATTTCGAAACTTTCCAGCCACATTTCTGCATCTGAAAGTGCGCACCTTGTCAGAGCAATGACTTCTGGTGATTCGAGCTTTCTCCGGCCCACCCTGTGGACGCTTGTGTATTATGACATCTTGGAGCACGCAGCGAACAATGAGGAAGTCATTTGTTTGAGGAATGTCTCCAGAATAGTCGATCGCATAATTCGCAACCACGGGCTGATAACAGAGCCTCATCTGGGATAACAGGCGTCTGCTGTCAGCAAAAGTAATTATGAACGTCCGTGAGAGCCAAGGTAACAGACTGCCAGCGACGAACCCCGCCCTTCACATGCTTCGCGGCAGGTTGTTTCAGTAGTCATGGATGACAGTCGTCACTACCCATTCATGAACATCATGATTGCTTTCTCCCCGCTGTGCGAGCGTTCCACTCACGAACTTTTCTATTCGAGAGCAAGAGGCACGTCACGGCCATCGTGAGCTCCCAGCAGAGCGTGACCATGGAAGGCGTCCTGCCCAGTTATAGACTGGTTTAGTCGATGTTCTGCAGTCATTTCTGGCGCGTACAGTCCTTTGTCTGCTCTAGGATGGTCGTTCTGGATTGTTTTGTTAAGATAACAGCTTTATCCGCGTTCGACTCATCAAATTAACAGATTAATAACACATTTGGATGAACTCAGACGTCTGAACCCTGGCCGCGCCCGTCCTCTGCTGGATCAAAGGCTTTATTGAACACAATTTTCCTACCCGAATGACAAATGTATTTGAAAGTCGCAGTCGTCATCACGTACTGTTCTGCCACTGCCACTGAATGGCACAACAAATGCAGGCAAACGCGACAGATCCATAAGACAAAACGGAATAGAGCGAGCTGCGTTTCCTATCCCGGGATAGCCGTCGTACTTTGAGTGAAGTGACCGTGTCAAGTGACCAAGTGACCGTGTCAAGTGAAGTGATCTGCCAAGTGACCGTGGCTGTCACACGCCGGCGTCGCCATGAATGGGGCTTGACATCGTGCGTGTGACACCGGCGGGTTGATTCTTCAGGACAATTGTCGGTATGCTTTTTTGAAAACTGCATGCTGCATAACGGTTCTGCGGTGCCTTAGGCGTTCTGTCCTCCCAATGTCCAAATCCGCATCAGGCTGTTTTATTTCACACATGAAGTATACGAACCACCAAACTTTTTCTGTCATGTTTCAATAAATAAAGTCGCGTTTTCGGAACTACCCGCTGAGCAAAGGAAAGATGTATGTGTGACTGTGTTACTCGTAGCGTGCAAGTGCTCTCGGGGAGATGCTTATCCGCATGCTTTCAGCTCTCTGGACACACCGAAGCGTCAACAGGTAGCGAGCGAGCTGGAGTCGCTGCACATCGAGTCGGAGCATAGCCTCAACTCGCTGGAGACGCTTGCCTCGCTGGCCAGCTCGGACCGGCTGCTGGACGAGCTGAAGCTGCGTGAGATGACCATCTCGCAGCTGCGCAGCCGCGTGCTGCAGCTGGAGCGGGCGCGGCTCGACAAAATACCCATGGACCCGGCCAGGGAGATCACTCGGCTCCAGAGCAGCGTGGTAAGCACCTGACGCAGGTGATGCTTTTATTCTCGGATCCATGAGCCAGACTGAGTCTTCCCCATATAATTTTATCAAGCAAAAACACGCGAAGCATTTTCCAGTCTTTGCTTCCGACGGCTCACCTGCCGTGAGATGCTCAGCCCTTACTCAGAACTCCGCGGACATACCAACGGCAACCAAACGGAGCTGGCATTTAATTAACTCCACCGCCACGTTATCCAATTTCTCCCTTCAGCTCCGTTTTGCCAATCCACCCATAATGACGCCAGCCGCAAGACTTGCTGCGTACACCATCACTACCTCACTGCGTCATCTGGAACGCGCGATCCGTGTTGAAATCGGCACAAGATCGGCCCCGCTCCGTCACTGCCCAGAGCTGGAGGGCTCCGCCGTTCATGCGTTGTCGTTAACGCGGCCGAAGCGTGCCGGGCGCGACGCAACTCGGGGCGTGTGACACAGCGCACACGCGGCTCTCAGTCAACAATTACCGCCGGCCGTCCGGGCGTCGCCGAACGGTAAAAGTGTGAGAACTTTCGGAGCCGGACGCTCGATGAGTGGTGTGGCGATAGCCTGGCGTTAGTCGCTTGGTGTCGTGGCCGCCTGCCGACGGCGCAGTCCGCAGTCTGCGAGCCATCGCCGCCGAGCTAAGTGGCCCGTCCTGTGGTGTCCGCTCGGACGGCGCAGTGAGGCGGGTTAGACTGGAGAGGCGCCATGACGCTCAAGTGGCGCGGTAGCTGGCGCGCCCACCGCTCCGTGTCCCTGTTGCAGGTGCAGCTGGAGCGGGTGCGGGACGAGCTGACGCTGCAGAACTTTACGCTCAAGTCGAAGCTGGCTGAGTTCACGCAACAGCTCAGCAACTCGGGGGTGCCGTTCTCGCTGGACTCGCAGCCGCCGACGAACGGTGTCGGCAAGCACGACACCCTCGACGCCAGCAGCCTCACCACCAACATATCATCCGGCTCTCTGGACGACGGCGGCGATCCTCAGAACAGTGGCAACCACAGACCGAACGGGGTGGACCACAAATCCACCTACAAAATCGGCACGGAAAGTGGTGAGCTTCGAAAGCTGCGCTTCACGGTGACGGAGCTGCGCAGCCGAGACGCCGAGCAGCGGCAACGCATCTCCGAGCTGGAGACGCAGCAGCGGAACCGGCGGAACCATGACGACCAGCTGCGTGCCCTGGAGGCCCGCCTGGAGGAGACCCGCAGCCGGCAAGAGGTGACGGAGCGGGATCTGTCCGCGAAAAAGGAGGAGTATACGACGCTGAAGCTGGACTTTGACAGGGTGAAGGAGGAGAACGGTCGTCTGAAGGACGACCTCAGCCGGATGATGATGCAGGAGATGGAAAACAGCAGCAAGCTGATGCGTCTCGGCGACTGCGAGAGTGAGCTGGGACGACTGCTGGACGATCACCGCACCCTGTCCGAGAGTCTCCACCATGAGCGGCTGCTGCGGAAGAAGTACTACAACATGATGGAGGAGCTGAAGGGTCGGATCCGCGTGTTCTGCCGGCTGAGGCCGCTGAATGAGATGGAGCGAAGACGGGGCGGAGCGGCGGCCATCAACTGCGCCGACGAGTTCACGCTCTGCGTGGACGGCGACAAGGGCCAGCGCGAGTTCCAGTTCGACAAGGTCTTCACCGACGACACGTCTCAGGAGAGGATATTCGAGGAGGTCGAGGTGAGTTACTGAGGCGACGCACCACATCTAAGCGAGTGCGTCTTTAGTGCCTAGCCTTGCTCACAGCTCTCGCCCATACACAGTCCCATGATATTACCAGCGGGCGTTCCATTGTGTCTGTATCAAACACCTGAAATTGACCCACAAGTATAAGCACCCCATTTAAAAAACACAACAGCAAAATAAGCATTAGCACTGCAGTGGGAATCCATTCTTAGCAGCCTCCCGTTTGAAGAACAACAGAGAAGCCAAAGGTGTCTTTGCGCCGCAGCGGTGGTCATGACAACAACAGTTGTAAACAGCGGCGCTTCCAAAAACGAAACGCAGTAGCGCGCAATCCCTTCGACGCCTTGTAATTTCATCAGCACCTTCAAGCCGTCATATCACCTCATGCGACAAACGATTAGCTGTCTAGCGGCGGCGCATCATCATCCTGATCATCACATACCGTGTCGTTGCCTCAGTCGCAGCATTTACGTTAAACGCCAAGCCCAGCTCCTCAGTGGTAGGACAGTAAACCTCAGAAACTATGTTCGTCCTACATTCGGGTAATTGCTGTAAATTCCTACCTCTCCATCCAATCTTCAGGCAATTGAACTGACATGAGCATGGCAACCACATCAAAGGACGGGATGGAAGATGTGGGGAGAAACACAGTCGCACCACGGATCGTGAGATGAGCAAATGAATTTGGTGTCACCGCTGGTGGCGGCCGCACACGGCTGGTGAGAAGTGAAGCCTGAATATAGTCAGGCGGGCGTGAAGTTAATGACGCCGCGGTACACGGTGCATGTCGCCTCCGTTAGAACAACGCGAAACGCTCCTGCTCCACCGACTTTGCACGCTCGTGTAGTGCTCCGTAACGTACGCGGAAGTAATGTCCGTGTTTTGGAGCTCCGCTGATATGCTGGCGTGTTTGAGACCAGCTCGCAATATGACGAAATTGGTTCTTCTTACAAATTTACAGATCGCGGAGTGCATATTCTTGCATCGGGGAACGGTCACCCATTTTGCGCTGTTTGTGCTTCTCAGCTTGCGCGGCACCAATACTGTCTCTCTTTTACCCGCTCAATGGCGACACCAGCCATCAGTTCATACCGTGCCGGACCCATTCTCAGCCGTGCGCAACGAAAATGCTATAAGCTATGACATATTCTACGGCGCTGTCGTTCGCGACGTTTTCCCTTAGCCTGCCAACTGGAGCCCGGGGGTTCGTACACATCCTCGCTCGCCCAGCGACGATTTATTTAACAAGTCGAATTTACAGTCGCAGGTGTTGCAACGCAGGTGTGTGCTGGCTATGATGCAAGCCGTTTGTGGACACATGTAGAGACGATTAATTGTCAAAACACTATTTTAGTAATGGGCATTATTATCAACTCGGTGCACTACTTGGCAAAACATTTTCATGCGTTCTTCGACGAGCACTCGCAACGCACGCCGCTGTACTCACTAACCTACTGCCTTGCACGTGAGCTAGAGCACTTCATCCCATTTCCCGGCCCCCACGCTCCGCAGTCTCTGATCCAGTCGAGCCTGGACGGCTACAACGTGTGCATCTGCGCGTACGGCCAGACCGGCTCCGGCAAGACGTACACCCTGCTGGGGGACGAGCGGCAGCCGGGCGTCGTACCACGAGCCTTCCAGCGCCTCTTCCAGCTGACGGAGGCGCGCAGCGGCCAGTTCAGCTACGCCGTCAGCGCCTACATGCTGGAGCTGTACAACGACCGGCTGCTCGACCTGCTCGCGCCGCCCGGCTCGAGGCCGGGCGATAAGTTGGAGGTTAGTGCGCCGGAGGTCTAGCATGTGATAGACGGTCGGCGGATCCACAACTGCAGCCACCAGTCCAGAGCCATTACAGCATTGCATATGGTTCAAGTTTGAATACTGTACCAGCAGGCGCAGTTTGCTATTCAAGCGGCTAGTGGAATCTGCTGGCAACAGCGCGGTCGATGCGCATGGAAGCGCGGAGGATTGCACTTGATCTGTTTAGATAATGGTCTTATTCCTTAATGCCTGTAATGGCCAAAGCAACTGCAGTTTTATCGTGTGACATTGGTTCTCGCTTCCAAAATGAAACGGGCACACGTAGACTGCATCCACGCTTACCCGCACACTGGCAAGTGTGGATACATTAAACGCAAAATTTCCGATAATCTAACACCCTGGCGCTTCCAATGTGCCTTAGGTGAAGAAGGACAAGCGAGGCCTGGTGCACGTGCAGGGCGCCACGGTGACGGCGTGCCAGGACGCAGCCCAGCTGCAGCGGCTGTTCCAGCAGGCGGTCAGTACGCGGCACACGGCCGCCACCCGGCTCAACGTGGCCAGCTCGCGCTCCCACCTGGTGATCGGCGTCACGGTCGAGGCCACCAGCCGCGTCAACGGCACCGTCTTCAGCGGCAAGCTCAGCCTGCTCGACCTGGCCGGCAGCGAGCGCGTCGCCAAGTCGGGCGCCACCGCTGACCAGCTGAAGGAGGCCAACGCCATCAACCGCTCGCTGTCGGCGCTGGCCGACGTCATCTCGTCCCTGGCCGCCGAGCAGAGCTTCATCCCCTACAGGTCTGTGACGTCATGACGCCATCCATAGCCGAGCAGAGCTTCATCCTATACAGATCAGCGACGTCACAGTGACGTCATCCATAGCCGAGTGTAGCTTCATAGCCTTCAGGTCAGTGACGTCATAGTGCGACAGTCGTGGCTGAGTGGAGCTTTATTCTCTACAGCTCAGTTATGTCGATCAAAGGTGGCCGGATGTCACCCCTACACAAAAGTAATGATGTTTATAGCCGAGCTTCATTCTTTGCGGGTAAGTCAGTTCATGATTACGTCATCCATGGTCGACAGTAGCTTCATACCCTATAGTTCAGTGACGTCATAGTAACGTTAGCCATAGCCGAGCGCAGCGCCGTGTGCTGTGTGTCAGTGACGTCATAATGACGTCACTCAGCGGAGCAGAACGTCGTGTCCCATAGGTCAGTAATAATGACGTCATCGGTATCCGAGCAGAGCTTTATTCTCTGACCCGTGCAAGCTTGTGACGTCATAGGGGCGACAGCTGTAGCCGATTAATGTTGTCTACTCTACATATTAGTTAGTAGTGGCGTTATCCATAGGGGAGCAGAGGTGAATATTCCACATGTAATTTACGTCATAATGAGCTCGCCTAGAGCTAACGTGGGCTTTGAGCCATATCGGCCTGTGGTTGGAAGTGAGTTGACGCTTGACGAATACGATGTCCACAGGAACAGCAAGCTGACGATGCTAATGCAGGACAGCCTTGGCGGCAACGCCAAAACTCTGATGTTCGTCAACATCTCGCCGGGGATCTACAACATAGACGAGACGATGGTGTCACTCATGTATGCTTCTCGTGTAAAACAAATCACCAACTCGGCAGCCAGAAACGCAGAGAACAAGGAAATCACCAGGCTAAAAAACGTTAGTATGGATTCGCACTTGGCAGGCGCAAGAAAGACCTTCAGCTCCCGTTTTTTTCGCTATTACAAGCATAGATTTCTCATTTTGAGATAATGACCTTCAGTTTACCAGGAGGTACTAATTGAACGATGTTATAAAGCAAGCATTGGTTATAAGCACGACTAAGCGCGGCTTGAAACGTCGAGTACTGTCAATATAGCCGATCTCTGTTTTATAACGTCGTTTAGCCGGTACCTCCCGGTATACATAGGTTAGATAACTCAGTATAGGCACCCAAAATATCGGTTGCTTTAGGTTTCCTCCGGCATTGGGGTACGGAACAGAACCTCGGGCCATCGGCTCCCGAACGTTAACCGTCCTCACGCCGTGACGTCATTACAGATCACTTTTTGTGGGAGCGGCAGACGGGGTGATGGGGTACATTGTGCCGCACAGTGCGGACCTGGAACGCTCTTTATCCAGTGAGGTTACTTTACTCACGTTTTATGGCTGGGTGTTGGCGCCGGAAGGTGAAACATCTAAAATGAGAGAAATCGAAATCATGCAATGTGACTGGCTAGCCAGGGGTGTGGTTTCCTACTCATTCTTCAGCCCACGATTTTGGGCTCCAGCCCCTAACGTTGAGAAGAACTTGGGATTACCCCGCGGTGAAATCGCTTGATTGGCGTATTTTGGGCTATGTTTCGGCATTTTTCACCGCTAAGCCCCTGTCCCTCATTTTGTGAAACTGCGTTCCTGGCCTGACGTGACTGTATGCCTTACTGATCGTATTTAGACGCATTTTTCCCCAATGTTTTTTTTGTATCTGAGCCATATTTCTAATATGCTCAGCGAGGTCACAAGTCTGACATATTTCTCCGTGTACTTTCCGCAAGTTATGATCATGTCTGTTTTCCGCCCGTTATCCCCCGTTTTTACATCATGTAATTGTAATTGATTGCTTCCCTTGTACCCATCGAGTGCCAGTTGTTACTTCCGACTTATGAATGGACATTTCTCGCTGGATCTGAGGAGAAGAGCTCCACAAGCATCTCCGATATCCAGCAAGAGATTTGGCTTTCACTTGGTGATACCTACCCTTTCCACAGATTATCGCGAAGCTGAAGCAGAAGTGCGAGACTGCCCAGTCCTGCGGCGAGGAATTCGATAGCTGACCAAACTGAACCCACGCTCAACTGAACTGCTAAAGATCTCAGTCAACCAAGTTCAGTCGAAGTGAGCCACCGATAATTCACTCGTTGTTTGCACACCAGTTCACGTTTAATAGGTTCACAACCGATTTTGCTAACATAACGGTATTACATATGTGATGACGTTTCGTATATTTCGGTCGAGCAGACTTGATGTGACGACAGGGCGTTTTGACACACGTGCAGCCACCACACTTCAGGATTACGCCCAGTAGCCACGCTTCGTTATTTGACCTCAAACGTGTGCACCCTCTATATCTGTCCAGGCTGGAGATTAAATGTCGATGCCTTGGTGACGGCTCGAGATGGACCGTCCTACCTTGCGGTCGAAGGGGATTTCCTACGCGTTCCTGGGCAATAATTGTGATCCACTGCAAATGAACCAAAGTGATAGCAGGTGTGTGAACGATTTAGATGTATTTTTGCGCCAAGTGACAATGTTTTCCAATGCGCACCTGTAGGAGACTTGTGATTACGGCTCGATGTTGCGTGCACACTTGAAATGATAAATAACAGTATATTTTCCAGCATGAATTCACTGGACAAGAACCAGCCCGAAGGGAATGCGGAACATGTCAAATGCACCTAGCAGAAACAGACGGAGAACACTGATTATATTACTATTTATCACGTTGATTGTTTTTTTTACGGTTCTGTTCATTGACAACGTATCTAGTTTGTGCTTCTTAGCTTTGCAGGCTGAGCATCAGTTCAAACTTGTCCGCAACTTTTATTTTGTCAGCATTAAAATTTTCCTTGAAAGATTGTTTTTGGTTGGCATACGCGTAGTTTGTAAAGCTCCTTATCAGTCCCACTTCACCGGTAATGGGCAGTGCTTGTTTGTATCTCTGAACTTTTTGCGGGCTCAGTAAGCTCTAGCTGTCAATTGGATCAATTATCCTGAGATAATCAGAGTTTAGAAGCCGTTGCTGCAAACCTCAACAAACCACCACTGACGACCTGCCGGGATGAAAAAAGCACCGATTTACGGGATATGATAGGTGCCAAAAATGAAAACATTGCGAGCTATGTGGTGGTAGAAAATTTGCCCAAAAATGGCAAGATATTTCAACAGAACAGCCCCTATTACAACAGACCTCAAAGTTTGGTATTGGTATGTACCCGATAACGTCTGCAGCGTAAGCTTGTGTATATCGCATATCGAAACAATTGCGTTTCGTTTTATGAGCAAGAAGAGCCACAAAATGTTGCCAAACATAGTAGCTTTAATTAGGACAGTGTATAGCAGGTGATAGAAATATGCTACAAAGTACACCACGTGAGTGCTGATGTCACAGATTAATGGTGACGCAGCGTTTTTACAATGACCCTCAGATTAGTTTTTTCGCAGATTATTCAGCCAAGATTCATTTTACCAAATAAAGAGTATGAAGTACCAAATAACAAAGCTTCTTACTAGTCGTAAGAATTGAAACTGGCATCAGCACCTTTCGACGGACATGATCAGCCCGCTACGCAGCATTTTATATCATCGCGACATTTGAGATCGATGGCTTCGAATGCTTCAAACTCGCCGCCGCAACGCGACTGTGAATCGGATTCAGTGCAAGGCTGTAGCCTACCGTTGGTTGTGTTTGTGTCGTGGGAAGCCCACTGGCTTCAAAGACCTAGCCATTCGTCAGTTTTTTTTTTAAGGTGCTCTTTGTTTCTCCTAATAATCCACCATTTTGGGCGTCCCTGGTAACAGCGTTAAAAAGTCCTGTCATGTACGTGACATTCGTGACTATTTCGCAGTGCAGGGATATACGTGACATTCGTCAAGTAAGTTGTGTTCTTTCAACATTCTCTTAAATTACTTCTCTCCACGTAGCCAACCACACCTAGACCCCTAGGCACCCTAAAAAACACACCTGACCCCCAACCCGCGCATTTTCCACCTGTCATTCATACGACGGGTAATATGGAAGGCACATCGCTTCTAACTGCCGAAATTGATCTGACAGAAAACATCCAATACGAAATGGCAACGACCCTGCCGTGACTCCAGGCTTACATCTGTCACTCGACCAGAATGCACGTGCTGCCAGCCGGCGCCCTACGCACCTGCATTCCTCACAACACCAAAAAGCAATTATTGATGAGAGCAGATTTCAGCCGAACTTTCCAGATTCAGTAAAAAAAAAAACAGCCTCCACGGACTTTGGGCCAAATTGAGGAATAGCTCAGTTCACTGAAAAACTAGCTCTTGGCGTATATTAAAACCATCCGATAAGAAAGTCAAACATAAGAAAAGTGGAACGATAAGGTTTAACATTGTTGAAAAGGAATGAAGGCATGATTATGAAACCGAATGAAAAATATAAAGGGCTGGTTATTTTGGACAAAGCAACGTACGTTGATGAGGTAAACAATAGAGGCAGGACGAGAACAGCTATATATATATATATATATATATATATATATATATATATATATATATATATATATATGATGCATAGTGGATATAGTGGATGATATCTTGAACTCTGTGACCAGTATGTGCGGCTCCTCTTCAACCGACGCCACGTTCAGCCAGTACAGTCCACTTAAGTGGTGCGGTGGCCCGCAGAGACCGGGCCCTGGACTCCCGGCTATAGCCGTGTATGCACTGATCCATGAAAGGAAAAGGCGCTGCACTATGAACACTTATTGCCTAGAACGCGTCTCGATTGATTTCTTATGATTTCAGATAAACCAGACAGTCAATGATCCCGCCGTGACCGCCACAGCAGAGAGCGATGAAAACAGCCATCACACATCCTCCCGCTTTATTGTTGGCAAGCATCGTGCGACAGACGTGGCTCGCTCAACAACAAGCTCATGCATGAACATTACACACACCTCAGTACACTCCATGAATATGCTGGAACAAACGCACAATTGACGTCCACTACAGGTATTGCCGACCCACTCATCAGGAATTATGGTGCTGCGAAAACAGAGGACCACTAGGCTACAGTCGACTCCTGTACCTCGGAATCGGTACATGATATGACAGCTAGAAATCAATAGGAGACGCGGGGCGGAGACGCTTGAACAGCGGTCTCCGTCGCACAGGGACGTCCCAATGTTTGCAAGCTTCAAAGCCCTGTGACGCTTCATGGCTACAAGGAGGCCGATGTCATAGTGAATCGATATAAACATAAATGAAACATGCTGATGCAGACGATGACGGAATTCAGGGTGAATGCTTCAGATCCATCAAGTTTCCCAGTTTGTGCTCAATGAATTCACAGACTGTCCGAAGAGGTCTGTTTGATGTATGTAGAAAAAGCTATACTTCCATGACGCACCGACCGCTGTGTAGTCGTTGGATGAAGTCATTCATGTTATAATATAGAGCACGTTATATACTCGTCTGAAACGTTAAAAAAAACAACGCCCACAAAAACATTGTGTCTTGGAAGATATGGCTTCCGTTTCTGACTCTTGCCATCCGTGTGTGCAAACGATGTTTGTGAACGCACGTCATTAAACAGATCGTGTATTTATTTGTTCCGGGCACGTCAGAGCGCATGCTCCGCGCATACGTTCAGTGTTCAATTATTTTGCGTTGTGAACACCGCTATGAGACCTCAGAGGCGATTTAGCTCCAGCCAAATACCATATCGCTGGCTGTCAAAATTCGATTTCGGCAGAAACAATTTAGCGCTGCTAAAATAGGATGTGGCGTTTAGTCACGAACCAAGAACTTGTTATTTGTATGTGGCTCTTAAATTCTATGAAAAGAGGGAGAAAAATACACCTCGCGCATCTTTAATATTAACTATATCTGACTAGACTGTACAGGTCGTATGGATGTCGTGATTGCCTTTGTGATGACGCAAATTGGGTGGCGTAATACGACGTGCCGAATAAGTCACACGCCCTTATCATCAAATACAACCTATAGATGAAATGGTTTCATGAATGAAATAAATAAGGCATTTAATGTAACACGCTTTCGATGACACCACTTTGTGGCAATCCGTTGCATTTCTGGACTTTGCAACCGACTGCAAATGTCAAACCAACGTTCTCTCATAGACAAATCTGCTAATGATAGATTAATTGACAACAAACATTATGTGGTTGTGCAAATTCTTGCGTAATACTGTGGCACTCGTGACTAGTGCTCCATCCCGTATAGTGCCAAATGGGCATTGTGTATGCAGCACGTTGCAAGCACATCTCAGTGTCTGTGCACACAAACGATCGCAGTGTAATGAAGAGCCGGCTAAAACAGGAAAAGATGCAGTGGGCAGCAGCCGCAGTTAACTTATATGTGCGTAGGGTCACACGGTATCAAAACGAAACTCGGCCACCGTGCCGCATCTCTGCGTCCCTGCCGACGGCTGGAGCGCCCCACCAGTGCCGCATGAATCCTAAGGCCATGACTCCGCGCCCGTACCCGGCGCAGCTGCCTGAGCAGGTCTAACACACGACACACATCACAAACAGGCGACAGGACATGCACCGGCTGCTGCTGACCGGGGACGGAGCTGGCAGGCCCCGGCCTCAGCGGGCTACTCCCGCCACGGCGCCGCGCACTTCAAGCGTCCCCTGTGCCGTTTCGCGCCGCCGCTGCCGTCGCCGTGGCAGCGCGCCTGCGGCACCGTTTGCCGCAGGCTGACGTCGGGCGTCACTGCCAATGTCTCCGACTTTTTGCGGCGTGCCGGACCGTGGAGCGCCACCGTCCGCGCGTCAGGGTCTGTTCGGGTGCTGAGTGCCGCGTGTGGCGGCGTCTCCACCTCCCACCTGTCTCCTCGGTGCCGCTGTCGCTCTCTGGAGCGGCGGCGGAGTCCGGCTGACCTGACCTCAGTCACCAGAGGCGGCCGGGGCCCGGCTGACTTGACCCCGGTCACCAGGGGCACGGCTGACCTGACACTGGTCACCAGGAGCTGGGCTGACCCGACTCCGGTCACCAGTTGCAGGCCAGCTCTCAGCGAGGTCTGGCCAGCTGGCGTCAGTAGGGGTGCGCCGGTGGCGCCGCCTCCACCTCGCCCAGCCAGGACTCGGGGCTGGGCGGGAACTCGGGATAGCCGGCAGTGCTGGAGGCGCTGCTAAGCTCGCCGGCCATGTGTGGCGGCGGCAGAGGGCCCGGCCGACCTGTCAATAGGGCTACCGTCAGACCCCTGACCGGCCACCGTCAGAACGCCGACCGGCCACCGTCAGACCCCCGACCGGCTACCGGCAGACCTCCGACCAGCAACCGTTAGCCAAAACCGATTTTGAAATCGCTTATCTCAGTTCTCGACATATCACGTAGGCCACGGTGGTTCATGCATCTCTGGTCCCAAGGGCTCATAGCAGCCGCGCGCCCTCCCCCATCTCGTCCTCCGTGTCCCCGCGCCGGCACCGCTGGCCACGCACCGAGGTGCGGCGGGAACTGGACGCCGCCGTCGCCGTACGACGGGAAGACGGCGGCCGGCATGGGCAGCCGGTGACCGGGGCCCGGAGAGCCGTTCCCGGGCAGGTTGTACGGCGGCGTGCTGGGACCTGGGGAAACGCCAACGCTCGTGTCAGCCCAGAGTGGGGGAGGGGAAGGGGCGACGTGAGACGTGTTGACTGTGGTCACGACGTGGTGCCGTTCGCGATCGTGGCTGGTGCTGACATTCACTCGGCGTGCAGAAGCAATCTGGACGAGAGGAAGCTGAAAGCCGTTTGATCTTGTCTCACGAAGTAGAACATTGGGGATTTTCGGAGCTTTGTCATGTTGCACTGTAGCTGCTCTACATTGATCCTATGTTGATCAGCCGCATTAGACAAATACATACCACTGCTGATGGCGGCTCCGACCAACACTTATTAACTGCGGTATACTCCATCGATGCATGAAGTTTCAAGATCACAAACGTCTTCCACCCTGGTGAAAACCAAGCCTTATGCAGATCAGCGGCGGGATCGAGCCCAGCCCTCCGACCACGAGCCGGCGGCTGAACCACTCGGCAACCGCCCGCCGCCGCGTGCCACTCACCGTGCAGGAAATGGTGCGGGTGTGGCACGTGCGGACTGACCACCTGGCCCGGCTCCATGTCGCACGAGCTGGGCGTGTGCGGGTAGTCGATCGTCAGCTCGTCTGTAGACGGTGGTCACGTGACGAGTCAGCCGACACGGCGGAGCTGCTGCCAGAGCAGCGCGCGCGGCAGCCGGACATCCCGGCAAGGAAGCCGTGCAATGAGCCACGTGCGAGGACGTTAGGTCGGAACTTTCCGCGTCTATGCGCGCGGTGCACGCGACTTCACGAAAATAACAGTAAACAGAAAAAAACAAACGCAAAAAACGCAAGATCCTCTGGTTTGTCGGCTAGCCTAGGGCGCCATATAGTTAAGTAGCTCCCGCTGCTGAAAACGTTTTCAAAGACAAGCTCGTGCAGCAGGCCTATCGACAGAGGCGGAGATGCACGTTCTACCCTGCCAGCTATACAGCCGCCTCCGATCCCCCTCCGGCGGGCCGATAGGCGGAGAGGCGTGAGGAGCTCGCTTGTCGCCCCACCGCCATCGTGCCTTACAAATGGACCAATTTACCAACGGCATCGCTCAAATGTTATACTCTGCTTTATTGGTCCACCGGGTGAAGGGGTTGGCCGAGCAAATCAATTCCACGCGCAGGAAGGCGGCAGCGGTAAAAGCTGCAAATCCCGCGGGACCTCTAATGGAGGGTGACTCAGTCGCTTGCAGGGAGAACCCCCAGTCACTCGTGTATCATTTGACTTAAGCGGGCCGTGACTTCCCTGCGGGGTCAATTGATTGATTGGATGGCCTACGTGGCATGAGGGTTTGCCGGTGCTACGTGCCCCGGTTAGACGTAGTTCTTGCTTTACGGACGTCTCCTGCTTTGTTTTGTATTATCTGTCGACTACGTTATTGTCAGCATGCATTTCCATGACATGGGTATCTATTGCTCTTATGCTTCTCACACCGCTTTCTTCTCGCGTTTATTGGCCTACGTTTCTATCCCACATGGTCCAAACAAAGGTGTTGGAGCTATATTCAGACTAGGGTGCCAACTATGATAAGCAGCCTAACTCGTGACTAGAATCCTACTTTAAATGTGATTTCCATCACCAAGTTTTGAATTTTCTGTGAGTGTTGGTGATTTTTGTTTCGTTGATTTGAACTTCCGTATTATCTTTCTGTTCAAGAGATTAAAATTCTGCCTGCTCTACACTACGAACCCTTCACCTAACATACTGAGGCCCCATGTTTTTTTTCCGCGCTACTGCCTCCACATATGCTCAGTAGCACACCCATTTCCTCTCGCGCATCGTCTCCTCTCCGCACCACCTGCCGCTCTGTTCGCGAGCGCGACCCCGTCTCCGTCGCTCCGCTCCCCTCCGCGGCACCAATGGCCTGGAAGCCCCGCTCCGATCCCGACCGGCTGTGCTGACGTCCCCGGCGACCGGGGCGACGGGCCGCCACGCGGGCGACGACGGCCGGCATGTGTGTCCGCTGGCGGCGCCGCTCGCTCCGCCGACCGGGCCCACGCCAGGGGCACCGGCATTGATCCCTCCCACCGCCCCAGCCCGCCACCCCGGCTGAGCCGCGAATTTATGATGCATCGCCACCATGTCATCCCAGCTCCCCCGGCTCCACCCATTCTGCGTTGCAGTCAATTTGTTAATAGTTTTCCTAATCCCGCGAGATAAAGAGGAAAGCGGCTGGAAAAATGGCCAAAGCCGGCGGGAAGGGAGGGAGGCTCAGGCGGCACTTAACGAGCCCTCGGTGCAGCGCCAGAAAAACGCTCCAGGGTAATCTAACCGAAAGCTAATGCCGCTATATATGGCTGCATTGCGTAGGGATATTAATTTAAGTGGCAGCCAACTAACAAGCACAGGTATAGCTGGGCGAATGATTTAGAGGACGGTATTTAACTGAACATTATAATTATTTTATCCAAGATGTTTGATTATGTGCGCAAATTTTCATAAATAAAACATTTATGTTAGTCAGAGACAAACAGATAAACACACATTTGTACAAACATGTATGCATGCACGCATAAAGACAGACCGAGATGCAGACAGACAGACAGACAAACAAACAGACAGACAGACAGACAAACAAACAGACAGACAGACAGACAGACAGACGGACAGGCGGACAGACAGAAATATTGAATTATCAAAACAAAACATGATACTTGAATGGACTGATGGCCCATTCCACCTGGGAGCATGGTGTAAGACAATGCTTCGGGAGGTTTGTAAGGCACCGGGCGAGAAACAGCACGCCGTCTCTCACCCGGTTGCATGCTTCGGAAGTACCTGTTTGCCCGACTACGTCGGTTCATCCGTCGCTCGTCAGAAGACAAGCGGGGGGACGGACGGGCAGACAATCAGACAATCAGACCATCAGACATCAGACAATCAGACAATTAGTCCGTCCGCTCAGGATGGCCACCGCGGCAGCTCACCGTCGTTGTTGTTGTAGACGGTGTCGTCGTCCGACTCGGACGTCTTCTCGCCCGCGCGTCGTTTGTCGCCCGGCTTCATGTTTCGGAAGTACTGGCCCCAGCGTGACCGGCCGGCATCCTTCTTCAGCCGCTTCTCCTTGGCTCGCCTGGCCAACAGGGACGCGGGCGAGGGTAACATGGGGCGGCTTTGGGGCCTGTCGTGTTCGGGTACTCATCGCTCTTATCTCTTCAGAGAGGCGAACGCTGAGCGAATCGAAAATCGCGTAATTGTCCTAGACCTATAACCATGAGGATCAAGGACAGCGACGATGCGAATGGTATACGAAACGCATTAAATATAATGGTAGGTACATGACATAAGCCAATGGATTCACCCAGTGGAGAATGTCTTTAATGGGATGCTCCACCTTTGGGACATATTACAAAAACGTGCTCTAGTGAAACCTCAGCACCAGTTAAGCCTAAATGATAGCACTGGGCAGTGCCAGTGTAGCGCCATCGAGACATAATAAGGATACAAAGTTCAATTATTTTCGAGCCGAAAGTACGCTGTCAACGCTTTGTAACAGCACTAAACTTCTACCCCGTGGTCGCGACAGCCGTAGTCATGACGACGGTAGAATCAGCTGGAGGGGTGGTTACTGTCAGGTGTTACTGAATGACGTCAGGAGAAACGAACGGTTGCGATTGGCACAGCGGACGTCGAGGGCCAGTTGCCAAGAAGCGCATTGGTCGAAGTTTCAACCAGTGCGTCACTACAGGCTATGTGCTACTCCGTTTCCATAAGCCAAAGTGTGCTTCGAAAAGAGCCACTGCAGTTTGATAGAGAAATCAAAGCCATCGTATAACGTTTCGTTGAACTTGCAGGATAAAAGCTTCATGCTCGCATACCTTTTTGTCTAAGAGAGTTTCAAACTTTCGTAACATAGATTATACAAACATTTGACAAAGAAGTGTGTTGCAAACATAACAGAACGTATTCGTTGGAAAAATCAACGCAACTTAAATGTATAACTTCCATAGTGATGATCAGAGAGTCCCATGAGATTTCTCCCGCAGGATCGGCAACTTCAAAATCAAAATTCTGAACTATTCAGAAGGATTCAGAGAAAACTGGTATCACTGATCAGATTGCACGCGTCTGATCTAACAATAAGTGAAAAGTACAAAAAGGTAACATGCTTCCTTTAACCTAATTCAATTGTCTCAAAAGCTAGAAAAAGCTGGTTCACAGGGCAGTTTTTTTCCAGAATTGACAACCGCAGGGAGTTTGTCATTCCGTTCTGCAGGTATGGCTCTTAAAAAGAGGCAATGCCGGAGCTCGGCGAGCAAGACGCACATGATCTGGCACAATTATAAAGATGAAGGTATTTTCAGACCATCAGACATTTTTTTTTAAATGGCTGTCTCCAATATACCAGCCCACAACGGAATTGCGAACCATACAACCAGAGGATTTTCTCAATTAATCAGTGGGTTTTCTACCGGTACATCTGGCCAAACGAGAGACCGCTCATTCAGCAGAGGACGGCGTTGCCATGGAGACGGATTCAGAGGGCCGGGCTGAAAGGCCGGAAGCCAGAAAACACGCCGCGGATTGATGAAAACGCAGCCGTAGGGAAGCTCCACGACCGGGCAGTGCGATTAGGCGGGCGTCGTTGCAAAAACATCGAGAGAAAATGGAAAACGCCGCCGACAAGCAGAACATCATGCTCGTAATGGTCGCCGAACGAGCGATCCATGTAAATGTACGGCAGGACCTTGCTAGACCTATTCGCTGAGTTCACCATGCGCCGATTGTTAGCTGCTGCCTGACAGCAGAGCCAACCAGTGCCATGCAGCTCTCTTACGTAGCTTAAGGGCCTGAAGGCATGCTTTCCGTTTGCCGCACCAAGCTGACCAAGGTTATGACGGCTTCTCCCGTTGGGGGAGGCGGAGGAGGGAATGGGAGGGGGGGGGGGGGCAGTATGCCGCAGCACTTCCAGGCTATCACATGGGCAGGGTTGCAAGCACACACGGAGTTGCGCCGTCACCAGACCATCGCGCCGTCATCAGACCACCGCGCCGTCATCAGACCACCGCGCCGTCATCAGACCACCGCGCCGTCATCAGACCACCGCGCCGTCATCAGACCATCGCGCCGTCATCAGACCACCGCGCCGTCATCAGACCATCGCGTCGTCATCAGACCATCGCGCCGTCATCAGACCATCGCGTCGTCATCAGACCATCGTGCCGTCATCAGACCATCGCGCCGTCATCAGACCATCGTGCCGTCATCAGACCATCGCGCCGTCATCAGACCATCGTGCCGTCATCAGACCATCGCGCCGTCATCAGACCATCGCGCCGTCATCAGACCATCGCGCCGTCATCAGACCATCGCGCCGTCATCAGAACATCGCGCCGTCATCAGACCATCGCGCCGTCATCAGACCATCGCGCCGTCATCAGACCATCGCGCCGTCATCAGACCACGCCCGCCCAATCCAGCCGGAAGCGCTGCCTGCGCTGGCCAGTCCCACGGCACACTGACCTGTTCTGGAACCAGACCTGGACGACCCGCATGTCCAGGCCCGTTTCCTGGCTGAGTTGTTCGCGAACGTGCCGGGCCGGCTTGCTGCTGTTGTTGTAGGCCACCTTCAGCGTCTCCAGCTGCTTGGCCGTGATGGTGGTGCGCGGCCGTTTGTTGGTCGAGTCGGTCTCTGTGGACACAGCGAGGTGTCAGGTGTGGCCAGCGGTCCTCGCCGCCGACCAGGTGGGGTGCCACGACAGGCGCGCGGCGGCCCAGACAGACGGGCCGCTGAAGACGGCATGAAGACTGTTCAGAAGCTGGAGAACAGCAGCCCACAGGCTACCGCTGACGGCTGCGGGACTGGTGTTCCGGTAGCTAAAGACATCGGGCATGGCCGCTCCGCGTGCTGCAGCTGATCTGAGCACGCGTATTATCTGCTCCGTGCCCGGTGCCTCTCCGTCCCATGCCCTCCCCGCGGTGAGCTGGGCGGCTCGCGGCGTGCCTGCCTGGTCTTCGCGGGAGCGGTTCGGAGAACCCCTCAGGTCCGGTCTGCAGTAGGGTCCCCTCTCCTGACCCGCGGCGCCACCCACCTGTGTCGCCGCGCTGCTTGGCCTGCTGGTAGTCGTCCTTGCAGACGAGCTTGCCGTCCTCGGTGAGGTAGAACTCATCGCCGGTGTTCAGCTGGCCGCTGCACAGGACGCACACGAAGCAGCTCAGGTGGTACACGTTGTCCTGGGCCCGACGAACCACCTGGTCGGGTGGGATGCCGGCGTCGCAGCCCGAGCACTTAGCCCCGTACCGCCTGCGGGCAGCCAGAGGTCAGGCCAGGCCAGGCCAGCTGACCCCGCATGTCGGAACGAAAGGCAGACGGTGGGTGTGAGCACCATGTGGCGAGCTGAGAGCACGCGTGTTGTCGGTGCCCATTGAGAGGAGTCACTTAGGCAAGCGGGCGACGATGATACGACCGTTCACCGTCGGGAACGCGAACTGCTCTAGGAATGTGGCGAGAGTTGAACAGTGCGGTTGCCTCCAACAGACTTAAGTAAAGTTATCTGTCAGCAGAAGATGCAAAATTACGCATCAGCAGATGATGTCACATCACGCATAAGCAGATGATGCAAAATTATGCATTGTCAGAATATGTAAAATTACGCATTGGCAGAAGATGTTAGCTACGCATTAGCAGAAGATGTAAAATTGGCAGTTAGCATATATGGCAAATCACAGGACAGCGCCACATTTCGTCGTAATTCGAATGAGTGGAGAAAACGATGATCGGCAATGCATTTCAGTATCTCGTGCGCACACTCAGTGCAAACTAACGTAGCGTCGTCTTCAGCTGCATGCGCACAGAGGCATGGCAACATTCTACATACAGTTCTGCTTTCGAGTCAGTCATCCCTCCAGAACCGCCTTAAATTATCCTTCTAATGAAGCGCGTACATGGCTAGAGAATACGACATGGCAGGCGTGACACCCTTAACAGCGCTTTAAATGTAGCGCGTACATGGCTAGAGAATACGACATGGCAAGCGTGGCAGCCTTAACAGCGCTTTTAATGTAGCGCATACATGGGTAGAGAATACGGCATAGCAGACGTGACAGCCTGAACAGCGCTTTGATTGAAACGATTTTAAACCGCATTATATTGCTCATTAAAAGAAGCCCGTTTTAACGTTATCGAGGGGCCATCTATTCTGAATGCTCTCCACCCCGGGCTGCATATCCGGTGCGCCTTGAACGCCTTCTCTCATTAACCACATGGTGTTTTGGGATACACTTACCCCAGAAGTTCAGGTGTGTACATAGTTACATGATTCACTGCGGCGTATCCCAACTTCGCATGCAGAATGCGTTGGTTCTGGGCATATTTTTGCATCCTGCGCATCTTCACTTATGCTCATATAAGTTGCTAACCAAGCTGTCGCACTGCCAAAACCGCACAGCAGTATCCACGAATGCGGCAAAAGTCGTCTGAGGAGGAAGTATGCAGGCGGATGCGGGCTTTGCTCCCCCGATTCAAACGTTTTTTCTATGCTTTCCTTCGGGCGCTGTGATAATTCTGTGAAACCCCGGTCCCTAAATGACGTAACTTAGAAGGATTCCTTTCCTTTGGACGCTGCGATAATTATGTGTAACTCTGGTCCCAAAATGACGTAACTTAGAAGGGTTCTGAATGATGTAACGGACCGCCGCGTCGCAGCGGCAGAAAACGAGCTTATGTACACCTCTGCCAAGCTATATCCGTGTGAAAGTACCGAACAGCAAAGGCACGCTATCGACTGAAACTGACACGCGCAGCTCCAATGCACTTCTTTCGTTACATGCATGGTACTACTAATATTACGAGATTGGGCCTATCGCAAAAGCCGTGCAGGCCGATGAGCAAGGATAAAATGATATAGCTTTTTGGTAGGTATGAATCTTTCAACTTGCCAAGCCAAACAGATGTAGCGTATTCTTCCTTATCTGTCATAGCACGCGGTACACCACTCAAGGCCAATTGGATTTTAAATGACGTTTGCTTGCGGACCATTTAAAGGCGAATCCAGTTGAGCTTTAACAACTATCAAAACAGCTTAGAAAGACGAGGTCGTTTAAAGGTTGTCACCGAAAAGCGCACATGGCAGGCGTAGCATCCCGCGCGACAAGCGCATCCCTTCAGAGGTTTGCGTCTGACCGTAAGGCCCAGCCGGCCATTGCAGGCTGTTTATTGATCGTCTTTGACACTTCACTAAGATATGCGCGTGGTTTGCATCCAATGGCCGTAAAGCAGCTTGGGTCATCTATGCAGCGAATAAAAAATGATTGTGTGACCGAAAAAATGACAATGACCGCTGGCGCTTTCACATCTTATACACGTATCATCCCTTTGCCGAAGGCTCTTGTGATCGCTTAAACTTTTCTTAATCTTATGAAATATTTTGCGATTGAATAGTCTGTGGCATATTCACCCACGTTAAGTTCCTGACCCTGTGTAAAGTGTGTTTGAATCTTCTATATCATTACAGGAGAACCACAGATATGCAAATGCAGTTTTGCCGTCGAATTTGTGCAAAGTTTATGCAAGAGGGAGCAGAATACAAGCAAGCAAGCAAGCAGGAGGCGAGAAGAACAGATCAGTTGAGATTGCATACTTGATTTGAAGCTGGTATAAACTCAGAAATTTGGCTGACTGACTAGGTTAACGGAAACTACAGTGTTGCTATCAAATTAACCTTTCTAACTAGCTCAGACAGCAGTTTGTATTTGAAAACTCTGTGGCGTACTTTCTACCAATAAAACGTGCTCTTGCCCTACTGGTCAGTTCTAAAATGCACTGTCACCCACTGGGTTTAAATAGGGTTGTTGACAAAATCAGTAGGAATGCTAGTTTTGTTATGATAAACTAGGGTATCAGATCATTCTATATTTTGGTTACCTTGGTGGAATGGGGGTTCTAGTTTTCATACCGGTATCTGAGTGTCACTCATTCAAGTCAAATCGTCAATGTGACCTGTTCTCCAGAAACCTTGTTTGTGGAATATGTAGCCCAGCGATGTTCTATGGTTTGTTTGTGCATTGCTTGGAAATGAAAGCACAGTATTGTATTGTTCTAAAGTTTGTTTTCTAAGTTGATGTCTTCATTAAGAGTTCGAGGGACAATTTAATAAATAATTTCCTTTGATTGATTTTTGGTCCGCTCAATCCATGTGAGCCGGCAAATTTGATAACCCGGTACGATCCCAATCCGTGTTTTGGTGGAAATTTTCAATCCGATTTAATCCGGCACGCGGATGGGTAAAGAATCCGTAGATTGATTCAACCCGTGAAGTGCTCTGTGACCACCAAACTGGGTGGCTTTAAAAGACGCATCATGCCTGCGATGCCCACATCGGACGTCGTTGTGATTATGAATGAGACAGCATAGGACGCACCTACCCGATTCGACCAGCACGCAAATGGTGCAGGGAGACAAAGCACGGGCACAAGAGCACGGTACTTATGATAAATTATGGACAGGATGGACACCAAGACATAAAGCCATAACGTATTATGACAAAGCATGCACCATAATGGGCAGAATGGACAGTTCATCCCTCACGGCACATGTCGTTGTGTGGTGTTGCCTGCATTACGGGTGAAACCACATTGCATTGGCTTGGTGGGTTGTTACATTTGAAGCCCAAGAAAACTTGTCTTCAACTCCGGCATATTTTCTGATGGCCATGCTACTCCGAGTCTGCGTTGGTCCATGCCGACTCAAACGGCTGCGATACTCAACGTCATTACACCTACGCTGCTTGTTTAGAGATCACATTTCCTTACGTGTGCGAAATTCGCGAGAAGCCGGATTTCTATTCGGCTCAAATTGCGTCACAAACAGCTCTCCGGAGACCAACACGACAGATGACTTCCAAACTTACTCCAAGCATTCGTTGGCTTTCATCAAATGTAAATTGTCGTCAAATGCGCAATTCGCTTAAAAGCAGCGTTAATTTCGGGTATTTCGGACCCAAGCTGCCTTTGCTAATGCACGGACTAAAAAACAACGACACTAACTTGCGAGCTAAAGCTGCCAGTTCCCCAACTGTAGAAATTTAGCTGTCAAAACTGTCAAGGCAAATGTCGCTGGAATTCCGCGTGAAGCGTCTTCGTCAGTGACAGGCTACGTAGGTTAGTGTCTCAAGGAGTATCACGTCACCAAAACCTTCAACATGTCAATTCATATGGAGCTATCGTTGATTTTTCACGTGGTTATCGCAAAACTATGGATCGTTGTGAGGAATCTGCCATGTTGCTAGGCCTTTTTTGACGTTCACGTCTGGGCCGAAGCACAATGGAACGACGTCCGCAAACTTGCAATGCAGCTCGTAAAGCAGCTGGGCTTAGAAAAGAAGAAAGAAACTGAGAGAATATGTAAGGAGCGAACTAATAAATGTCGGAACATACGCACTGCACACAGAACCATCAAATCGCTCGCCGCCCGTGGCGGTAGCAGCCGCAAGACCAGGAGCAGCAGTCTCCGATCCCGAGGAAGGCGAAAGGATCAGCTCTAAAACGCCTCAGGGCGCGCATCGTCAGCCGCGGGGCTGGTTTCGAGCATCAGCTGGACTGATGTTCTGAAGTGGGGTCAGGGACATATCTTCACAGGTTTTACTCCGCCGTACGCGGAGTAAAACATGTAAATGAGCGTGTAAAACGCAGGAAACGCCGCACGCGTCTCTGTGTTTTATGTTTTGATGTGAAGCGTTGCCGAGAGTCGCCATTGTGCCTGAACACTTGAGTACCATGCACAATATCAACGACTTTCGCTTGAGAGTTTGTGGCAACCACGCTTCGCACAAAACCGAATGTAATTACACTCATTCTGAAGGCCATTCGCTTCACTTTTAAACAACGTACCGTTCAATTACTCACCACTTCCAAGTCTTGATATCATTTTCCTAAGGTTAGCGTTGATACTTTTCAACAACCTTATGGTTACGGCCGCAAGTTCGACATATTTCGTGATCATTTCCTGCACGCTGACAGGGGTGCTTTAGCATGCGCATTGCAGGCGTTTAATTGTGTTTGGGTAGTACGAGGTTGAGTAGGCATTGAAATGCGTGCTGGTCACGAAAATAGCGCTTACCGCAGGCATTCAGCAAGGCTATGATGTCATCACATTGACATGGATATAGAACCTATCTCTGGAAGCTCATAGCTTAAGGACAGCATTCAACGCCCTTGTAAACACGGGTGACATGCTTGTTTGATTTGCTCTAAATGGAGCTTCAAGCAAGAAACGTGTGCTCAGACCCGTTGCAGAGCACTCACTCGGTGGGGATGGGCCGCTACCGACCTGAAAAGGTCCTCCATGCGCGAAGACCTGGCCGGAGCGAGCCGGCACTGAACTGAAGAAGTTCTCCTTGCGCGAGGACCTGGCAAGAGCGAGCCAGTACTAACCTGAAGAAGTTCTCCTTGCGCGAGGACCTGGCCAAAGCGAGCCGGTACTGACCTGAAGAAGTCCTCTTTGCGCGAGGACCAGGCCGGAGCGAGCCGGTACTGACCTGAAGAAGTCCTCCTTGCAGAAGACCTGGCCGGAGCGGACGAAGCACTTGTCGGCCAGCTTTGCGCCGCAGTCGGCACACACGAGGCAGGCGCTGTGCCAGCAGCGGTCCAGCACTTTCAGGATGTACCGGTCCACGATCGGTTTCTCGCAGCCGCCGCACTTGGGGATCGTCGCTGCAACGGAGAGGCGGGCCGTGGACGTGAGCTGCCGTCTGGCGGTGCTGCCGTCGGCTTATTCAGAGGGACGCTCAGGCGCGGTGCTGCCCTGGGCGGGTGTGGAGGAACGCCCAGGCGGTGCTGTCCTGCGTGGGCGTGCAGGGACGCTCAGGCGGGATGGGCAAGAGTGCTGTCCTGGGTGGGTGTGGAGGGGCGCTGAATCGGGATGGGCAGGGTTGCTGTCCTGGGTGGATGTGGAGGGGCGCTCAGTTGGGATGGGCAGGGGTGCTGTCCTGGGTGGGTGTGGAGGGGCGCTCAGGCGGGCTATGCGGGGCGGTGTCGCTGTCCCGAGTGTGTTTGAATGGACATCCAGGAGGTTGGGCAAGGGCGGGGTTTGCGTAGCTATCGGATGAGGTTCTGTTTACGGACAACACGGAATTAACGGGACATGCTGCGCTCACTCAGCAGAAGACCACGGAGTTCTGGCGAAATGCTCTGCTCACTGAGCAGAATTCAACGGGGCTTGCGGAATATATGGCGCAATAGATATAGGTTATGCATTTTCACCATCCGCCAAGCTCCCGCATGTTAACGTCACTACGCATGCCCCGCAGTTCACCAGCCACTAGCACTGGCACACGAGAATAGAACAAGTCAAGCATTGCTAATGGCCATCACGATCAGCTGTGCCTCAGAAAACAGCTTATCGGCAAAACGGCTGCGTCTCATTCGTTCAACCAAGCGCCATCTACGTCATCTCAGATATTAAGATGCTGGTCCTTCAATGGCTGGCGTTTCTGAGTGAATCCATCCCTTCAATCCTTGGTCAATGTTTGTACCTTCTTTCCATTTATATCTAGTGTACGTAATGATACATCCTCACAAGTGGAGATGGGTGACCGTATCATTGACATGCTTTAAATGGGTGTCTGATGGATACCATGGTCCGTTTATCTCATAGCGGATCAGAATAACACACAGACGGTAGATATTTACATTCGTCCTTGGATTTTAATGCCTCAAAATGCCCCGTTAAGAGATACCAGTGAAACCATGTGAAACGTCCGCGAAAGGCGTGGTCTTAGTCCATCACACTCACGGACCATTTCGTCGCGCCTTTTCAGCACACCTCCCTGAGTGGCGACACTTTCCTGCGATATAGTCTGACGTTTAAATTAATCAACTCCAACGCGCTTCAGGTACGCGTTCGGGCAGGCCGGCAGCCCCGTCCGGTCAGCTGACTCGACCCGACCCCGACGTCGGCTCACCTTTGATAACGTCGGGCACCCCGCAGCCGAGGTCAAAGGGCAGTCCGGCTGGTCGGGCCGGCGCCGGCGGCGAGCTGCCCTTGAGCGGGGAGGTGACCACGGCTCCCGGGCCGCCCGTCATCACGGTCATCACGGGATCGCCTCGCCGCTGTCGAGCCGCGTCTGGCCGCGCGCCGCAGGCGAACGCCACTGGCGCCGTCCCCGCACCCCTGCCGCTGCCCTTCCCCCCGCCCCCCGCCGCCGGCCCAGCCGGCCCCCGTTTTTCTATGGGGTCCAGGTGGCCGTAAGGGCGAGATTTGATGGCAGCGCGGCCGGACAATGAGCGGTAATGATAGCGTTGAACCGCGGCACGTGCCCGGCACGTCACCTGTCTGTGGGATCGGGGCGCTGTGGGAAAGCTTTGGCGGCTCGACCCGCGCCACAAAGAGCTCCGCCTACGCCTGGACCTCTATCTCCGCCTCTGGACAAGCCTGAGTTTCACGACCGCCAGCTGGCGGCGTTTGAGGGGCAAGGAGGCGCGGCGTAAAAGTTGACGACTGTGATGAGGCCACGTTTGATACGTGGGTGGGACGGAGAGTGCCGACAACGGCTGGACCCACCAGCAATGTTTTTCTTTTTCCATGTTCTAAAACGCTGCGAACATTGTAAATCCAGTGAGTCCATAATATGCCCAAACATGCGCAAACAATTTGAATATGGTCACATTCGAGCTTTTTTGTTCAACTGATCCCGCCCATTTAGAATGGAGAGCCTGCAGATAGGCAACGTTTTGCAATGAGGGTGCTGAGATCAATATTCACCCTATTAAATGGATTGATAGACTAGGTTCGTATTTTGCAGCACAACAGGCTCGACATGCACGTTTATGGAAGAACGTGTTGGGTCACGCACCCACTAAAGTAATATAACATGAGGTTATCGTACCACGTCCACAACTCAATTGAGCAGGACGGGTTCAAAACGGCGACAGCACTGCATTTTGTCCCGACGCAGGTATTTTGGCTTCTGTTGAGTGACGCCATGCAGCAAACCACAAAAGCATGCAAATCAGCATGCTATTATTACGCACATCATGGATGATTTAGCAATGATGCGGTAGGGGCAGGAGGCCCAGACACAGTTGGTAGTGTTTGCTCACGACCGTGTGCCGTGTCATGGATTGGAGTCGGCTGCTGGCCTGGGGTCCGTCATCCTCCGATACATGCGGCGCAGCTAATTGCCACGCAAAATTACCAGATAGGTTGCTGTACCATAAAGCAATTTAGGAAGGCTATAAAAATGACATGTTCAGTGCAAGAGATGAGCATATTTGCTACACTCTGACAACAACAAAACAGCGCTCACAATAGAAACCCTATTTTTGTAGTTTTCCCCTCTGTACGGTTCAAAATATAAAACCACACGTGCACGAAAATTCAGCTCTCAAAATGCTCGCGATTAAGCTACAACAGGAGCCCAGCTGTAAAAGCCCCACGTGACTGCGCTTTTACAAACAAAACGCAGACTGCACAACCACTATAAACCAAAGTCAAATTGTGATTGGCATGTAATGAGAGCTCGAGTGGTGATACGCATGCAAACACGTCAACCCATGATGCTGTTTATCCTTCATTCATTAGCGAAGCTGCACCTGTCCGCAGCGTGAAAAAGCCGCCTCTGTCTGGCGGCGCTGGAGCCTTGCGTGACAATGGCCCGCAATTTAGCGCCGCCGCAGTCGAAACGGCCGATCCGGCCATGAATGTTTCATGTGCGTTTAAAAATTCACTCTCTGATGTAATGTCCATTGTACTGTAAATGAAATATATTGCCGGCTATTACGGGGCTTTGTGGCGATTATCGTGGCGGCTTTGTCGGCGGGGCCGGTGCGACGGCCGGCGGCATCAGGCCGCCGCACGGTCAGCGGCCGACTGACGCCGGTCAGCCGCGCACGGCCGGTATTGCTGCCGTTGGGGCTATCGACTGGTCACGATGGACCGTTGCACGCGGTCAGGGGGCCGACGGGCGCCGCCCCCTCGGCTGAGCTGGGGCGCCGCCAGCGGCGCGGTGCGCGCTGCGGTGGGGCTGCGGCCGCCTCCCCGCCTCTCTGTTCAACTGTCGCGCTGACGTGGCTGTCGGCGTCTCGCGATGCCAGTGGAAGAAGGCAGGTCAAATCCGTGGGGATGTCCTGGCTTGTGGTGGGTTTCTTTAAATGTCGTCCATTTCTCCCGCAAATTATTTAGCCAAATTACTTTTGGAGGACGCGCTCTTAGATGCTTGGATGTCTAGCAGATAGTCATAAAAATGCATGACTTCAGGCGACTAAATGTCTGGTCCATAAACCCGGTCGGGCGTACACCGACATTTGCTTGTCTTTTGAATCATGTAATATCGTGATCCCCCCCCCCAAAAAAAAATCAGCAGGTTAACTGCTGTTCTTAAGGATGGCCTTTGATGTTGTGTGATATAATCAGCAAAGTAAACATAGCTGCGGTGGTGCAGTAGCATGGTTCTGACACGACATCCGATGGTATGCATAAATCAACACAATAAAAAGAGGTCACAGCGACCGTGGAGAGGCACAGGCAACGCCCGTCTCGCCATGGACGACTGTGTCATGTGTTTTGAGGTTGACCGGCCGCTGATTGGCTGTTGCAGCCCTGACGTAGTGCGTGACAGCTGCCTAGCGCGCCAGGCGCTAGCTCAAAACAGGCGTCCAAGTTCGAGCCACACACTCGAAAGTTCATTGCGGTTTTTGCAAATAGAGGCACACATTCTGAATTGTCATTTTCAGCCTTTTCACGTGCCCATCGCCACTTCGCACAGTACCTTTCTCGGCATGACATTGTTCCCGCATCGTCGCAAAATCCTCACGCCACCGCGACGTCAGAGCAAGGATCTATCTACTTCTCCTCTGCTGAACCGAATCCACGACAGAGTTGACGCAGCCGTCGGAGCCGACGGACCCGTCGGAGCCGTCGGAGACGTCGGACCGAAGGAGCCGCCGGAGCCGACGGGCGCGTCGGACCCGTCGGGGCCGTCGGAGCCGTCTCGTCGGCTGCTCTCACGGCCGGCTGCTCCGGCGACGAGCCGCGTTGTGACGCTGATTGGCCGCGCGTCAGATAGAGGCACGCACGGCGTCACTCGGCGCAACAGCGCGCCCGGGCGGCGGGGGACCCCCGAGCCGGGCGGACTGTCGCCGGCCGCCGGCCGACGCCTGGTCTGACGCGCGCTGACAGGCGGACACTGAGGCGGAGCAGGGCTCAGGGCCGCACCGGCTCCGCACAGGCAGCTGACGCTCTTCGCTCGGCAGCGCTGGGAGGCCTGTGAGACTGCTGCCATGCTTTTATTAGTTTGGTGGATGTCTGAGCTGTATTCATTTGCAAGGTGTGCACCCTTCCAGTGGAGTAAGAACACCCGGCAAGAATGCATATTAATGCCAACACCCACCTCAACCTTGAAAAAGTCTGCACGAAAGTCTGCACATGTTCGTGGGCGTGTAGCTCAGAAATAAGAAGGCTTTAGGCCTTAAAAAGAGCAGGGATGCAGGCTGCGGCAAATGATCTTTAATATGTCTATTTCAGCTCAAAAACCCATGAAATGGGAAACAGTTCTTTAAAGAGAATGTTCCACGTTTGAAAATATTGAAGCAAATATCAAACATGATTAAATTGGCTCACTTATTACTCTTTGTATCCTTTTAAGTAGAAAAGACTGCTCAAAATTACCCAACACTACTCAATTTATCTGTTTTGTAAATACGCCGCTTAATAC